CATAAGAAGAGAGGAGGCAGGCTTCGGACAGGCCACAGAGAGGCCCACAAGAAGAGAGGAGGCAGGCTTCGGACAGGCCACAGAGAGGCCGCAACAGGCCAGCCAGCTGTTGAGGCCTCGGACAGGCCTTTGGAAGTGCTTGGAAGGGTTCTGCTAGGCTTGGCCAACTGCTGCATCCTGCGCCTTTGGAAGTGCTTGAAGGGTTCTGCTAGGCTTGGCCAACTGCTTCACCCTGCGGTGTCCCAGGCGCCTCCCCGCCTAGGCTTTGGCTATAGGCCGGGGTCGGCGGATATATGTATATAATAGTGTGCCTTCAAGTTCTTGAGGCACAAATCTCCTGAATCTGCTCTGAGGTCCGACCATCTCCCATGTTGCTGAGATATTCCTGAGAGACATGAATAACCAAACGATACAGTTCACGCCTTCTGTATATAGTAATTCTTGTCAAATGGCCCTGGCATAACAATATGCCCGCATTGAACAAGCACACTATGTCACTATGTTGACTGCATCTTGTTGCTTAGCGCATGAATTGCTGTGTTCCCATCCAAGCAGCCTTTGCAAGTCTGACCCGCTTCTGATCTGCGGTCTCAAAGAAGTCATCTTCCTGCTCAAAGCAAATGGAAAGCTGCGGAAACAAAGTCTTATCGTATCCAGAACGCTTCGGGTGTCTCTTCACAGGACGGTGACATGACACCACTCAAATGCACAGTGCTGAGCGCGCCTCCTCTGGGGCGTGCGCCTGTTCAGCCACCGAATCACTTGGAGTCCCTAACACGCAAAAATTGTACAGAGTATCCTTTAAAAGCATACTCAAAAATCATTTACGGCCCCCTTTCAATAAGGCCTCTTTTGCCCTTATTGAAAGGAGGTCTTACCTTCATGTGTTCCTCTCTTCTTTTGTGTAATCTACTCTTTAACCTGCAAAGCATCGATAAGTCCGATACAACTCGACAAAGACAGGTGTGCACCTCGGAGACTTCATCATCAGAGGCCAGGTCGCCCTGTGCATCTGCCAATGCATCGTCTTTGGCGCGGCGCCTCAGCTTTCAGTACCAACAAAAAGGATCATTCCATATCGCCTCATACCGTTCCTGTTCAAAAGGTTTAACATGGGCTCTCGTCTGCTGAATCTACTGAGGCACGCTTTGGTCGCAGAAGAACTCTTTGCCTGAAGAAGACATCACAAAGCAACAGCAAGGGCCTGGGCCAAGAAGCCTCCCGAAGAAGAAGTTCAGAAAACAAGAAGAGTCTAAGAATCAGAGAAGAAAAGGAAAAAAAAATCGAGGAAGAAGAAAAAAGAAAAAGAGATTGAACTACAGATGCGGACCTCACACGGCAGCTGCGCACAAGTGGCATTTTTTTCAGCTGCACTTCAGTGCGGGTGCTAGCCACTTAAATACCCTGACGATGACCTTGCCTGCACAGAATGTTGCCTGAGGTTCATCGTCCAACACTGTTGAGTCAAAAAGAATGATGCTGTTTCGTCCCTAGTTGGCTGACAAAGGGCTTTCAACATCAATTTCAGGCAACAAGTGGGTGCGGGTATTTCAGGCGCTAGTGTCTTCGACCTCAGCTGCACTGATCTGCTGCTGTTCACTTGTTCTATGGGCCACAGTTGTAAAACGAGAGAAACCCAAGAAAACTTGAAACAAAGTTGCTGACGAGAAACGATGAAGGTTCTGCCCTTGCAGACTTCACACGTTGACAAATTAGCGGCCTTTTCCATGGCCTGGGCTAGGACAGCAAATTGGAAAACAACTCTGTTCCAAACACTAGTTTCTGTGCAGCTTCTTTTTGACCTATAACTCATGTCAAAAGCAATCTGTCTCACAAGTCATGCCTTTTGTTGCTTCGTTGATCTTCCTTTTGAGATCAGCATCAACTTGGAATTGAGGCTTCACTGCCTGACTTACAGAGCACTTCTCCAAAGTGACGTGCTGGCATCCCTGTTGGTTATTGACATCTGGTGATGCATTTCGTGTTTTGCATTGATTGCATGTGTCGACTGCTAATGCTAATGCAATTGTCACTCAGAGCAGAACCTGGCCTTCAAATTGTCGTAGAGCTGGAGGGCATGTCGGCAGGTGCTGCCCTTTTCCAACAAAGCGTTGAGCACTTCAGCCACCAAAGCCTCTGGATGAAAGAGAACGCAGCTCACCAGGCTAATTAGTTGTCCAGACAAAATAACATATATTTGTTCATTCACTTCCATGGAGTTTGAAGGTTCTGCATCACGCAGCCCTTTTTGTTGTGAGGGCCAGATGGCCTATCAGACCTCCCTTGAAGGAGGAGCCCCAACCAGAGAAGCGTTGAAAAAGAACAGCGGATCTGTTTTGTGCATTTGGTTTGGGAACGTGTGTTTTCGGTCATGTCCGCAGAAGGGTATCAACAGGTTATGAGCCCAAAGCAAGCTACTTCTGCACCACCCTCGAGCTCGTGCATGCTTCGCCGGCGCCGAACGGTGGAGCATGGCCCTTCGCTGGCTCTCCCTCCACCAGAGGAGGATGCTGCAAGAGCCTCTGCAGAGGAGGCTGGAAAGGTGAAGGAAAGAGAAGGGGTGGAAAAAGATGAAAAGGGTTTGATGACACCCACAAGGTCTACGACAGGACCACCGGGTTCCGCA